ATATGGAAGAAACACCTTTAATTTAATGATGCATATGGAAGAAACACCTTTAATTTAATGATGCATATGGAAGAAACACCTTTAATTTAATGATGCATATGGAAGAAACACCTTTAATTTAATGGAAATTCTAAACTGGAAACGTCCAATTGATACAGGAGATGTGTATGATCTACTATTTAGAAAATACTCTAAAGAAATGTGGAAACTGAGACATATTCACACAGCAATGACATTGGCTGGTGGGAACAACGAACCCTGAGAAATTTGAACACGAATGGAAAAGAAATAATTGAAAAATGGAAGAAAAAAGAAGAAGAAGAGGAATATAAACTAACGAATAAAGGTCGATTCAGACTATACAACACTGACCGTCACGTTCCGGCAACGACACGTACCGGCACCGACACGACAAAACATTAAAACACGCGTGTTAATGGAACTAATCACACTATTCCCGTTGACGGAACGTTCAAGTCGGTGTCTGTTAAGTGTGAATAGTCTGAATCGACCTTAAAAGAAAGTTCATTATTAAAAATCATAGAGGATCTGCCTCCTCGTGGCAGGGACGGTAACGTTAACTAACCCAACGGCCAAATGACCCAAATGGAATCATGCAACGAAGAGAAAAAGAGTAATAAATTTAAGAACATAAATTTCCCTGTTCTGAAAGACAGAAAACAATTTTACCAGTTTATAGAAGTAAGCAGCAATGGGCTGAAACTCGAGATGTAGAAGAATGTGAGAAAGAAATTAAAAAAAAAACGAGTGGAAGGGAATGAACAATATTGTAATCTCATACGGGTTCTTGAGTTACCGAAATTCTGTCATTATAGCCTGCTAATCTTTTTTTTTTTAAATACATTTGTGGTAAAGGGTCTGTGTTACGTTTAACCGCTTCATAGGGGCTGAGCGTGATATAAATCGGTGTAAGGAACCATGACGAACCGAGAAGGGGAAAAATTTTGAATGTCCTAATAAAATTAATAATTATCCAAAATGATAATTTCTATTTGTGGGTAATACTTTTATTCTTTTTGGGCGTGGTTGTTAAAGGAAAAACAGATTTAACGGTTTCGCGTAGTTTATTTGTATCGTTGTTGACGGATTGACTCGGAGAACATTACTGCTATACCATGTTCGGCATACCGTAGACACACGAGTGTCGCAGGCAAAAAACGTAGGAGCCCGTGTCGTCGCGCTCTCGCACTTTCAACGCGCAAATCAAATTATTACCGAGTACATATTCTTGTGAAGTACTACTTTAACTAAACATAATAAAGTTATAATAAGAATTCCTGAAACCGAGTTTCTCATTTTAGTTACACTTAAGTCTGTGAGATTAGACTGAAAAAGACGACCAGAAAATTATCGTCCTGGGTTAATCATTTTCTGCGTATGTAAAAATCAAGTGAGACGGACCTGCGGGATCTAAGCACTTTGATGAAACAATTAACTAACTAAATCGTCTCCTGCGAAGAAAAGTTCGTTTCGTATCGACGGCGGCCCAGGTCGACGAGCACTTTGATTCGCTGCCATCGGTACGCGAGATTGCAGTCACGGGCGCGAAGTTCGAATTCCCCGCGCGCTACCGATGCCGATCAAAGAGGCTGAGGAGAACAAATGGCGGGCGTTCACGGATAGGAATGCAGGCAGAAAGAGAGCGAAGTAATGGCCGGAGCAGGGTTGATAAATAGCGAAGGGTCGCCCTTCTTTCTAATAAAGACGCTCTTGTCGAGGGGTTGATCTCTCCTACGGACCGGGAATACCAAATTTGTCAGGGCGTGAGACGTCGGTTCTGCGTTAGCGGCGACGCGGACAATGATGCATGAACGATTCGGAAATATGCTCGAGATCTTTCCTCGGTTTCCTCCTTCCATATTTACGTCGGGATTTCACGTTAGATTGAACCAGAGGCGGGGGACTTGCGGCCTTCTCGAGTGTTTTGCGCAGCCATTTTTTAGCCATTGTTAGAGAAATTTCATGGGTAATATAGAGTACAGTAGAGACTTCCGTATCCGTACTCCTATTATCCGAATTCCCTAATATACTCTGTTCTGCTATCCGCACAACGTGCTTTCTCATGTCGAAACATTCGAGTCATTTGAATAAAATAATTTTTAGAAAAAGAATTTAACCGACTTTGAAAAACATTAAAATTGCACTAAAAGGTATGAAATAATTTCTAGTTGATTTATATGAATACTCACCAGCTCTAGATGTAATTGCTTAAAAGTATGAGAAAATACAGTGAAAGGTATGAAATAATTTCTATTTAAACTGCATTATTAACTGACTACGAAAAAGTTATTTAACATAATTTAATATAAAGGAAATAGAAATTATTTCATACTTTTTAGTGCAGTTTTAATATTATTTTGAAGTCGGTTATATTTTTTTTCCAAAAATTATTTTATTTCTCACCAGCTTTTGATGAATTTGGTTAAATTATTACATACAATGCAACCTTTTCGAAGCCGGTTAAAGAGGACTTCTATTTGTCTCCCTATTAGTTCGGATACGGGAGCCTCTACTGTATATAAATCACATTTATTTCTCTTTGTCTCATTCAATTTAATCGATTTTACTTATTGCTTTAGTTATTGGACTGTTCAAAAAGTTCGTGCCAATTTTTTTAAAAAAATTCAAAGGCACATTTGAATTTTAATATATATTTATTGAATTACATAGTTACCATTTTGTTCCACAACCTTTCCACCTTTTAAGGGATGTATACATGTTATTTGTTTTCAACCATTCTGATATATTCAAACGAGTCTTTTTGAATAGTACTTAATTCGACCCACTTTATGGCACGTGCTCAGAGCAATATGGTTGTTACATGAAATTCAAAATTTGTTCATGGGAAATTTCTGAAGTGTTACGTGGCCTTCAATTACCAAATGGTTCTCCATTCTTAAAATAAATCGAGATTGCAGATTATTTTATGGCAATCTTTTGCTTTCAGGTGGCTGTAACGTGCGTTTGATGTTCCCCAGATTGTGGGCCCCCTTTGGAAACGCTACAGAGGTCACGAACTTACCACCCTTGCACAAGAGTCATTCAGGTTCGTGAAGGGATTTGTACTAAGGTCGAAGTTAACAAATATTAGTCTGCTTTTTTTTCGTTCAGTGCACTACTGGAAATGAGGAATTACTTTGTTTAATGATACTTTCCGCTATAATTTATTGACTCTGTGTATATATTTTCCTTGCCTTATTGCACCAATTGTTCTATATTCTTTATACACTTTTTGCTCATAAATATTTGCAGTTTACTCGTTTGCCTTCGCCACTCATTCTCAGATCCGTCTTTGATGGTATTGCAAACTATCCGACAATGTGTCCATCGCGTCACCAGTTAGTCAAAGGCGATTCAGTTTGTCTAGATACTCAAATATTAAAAATAATACATCAAAGTTAACAAAGATTATCCCTTTTGTGGTCAAACTACAAAAAGCGGGCAATTTTATCGTCCGATAGTGGTCTAATGAGTCAATTTCTTGACCACTTTTGTGTATTTCGTTTGCCTTAATGAATCGATTATCCTATGTTCTTTGCACATCTGCATATAATCATACATAGTCTACTACTCAGCCTTTGCTGAGTTACTCTCAGGTGCAACCTCGATGCCATTCCAAACTGTCTGGTAATACTTTCATATAGTCCAACACTGCCAGCTAGTCAAAGTTCAGTCAGTTATTTCTAGATCCTCGTAGATGCATCAAACACAATACGTCAAAGTTAACAAAAGCTAACCCTCCCGAGTACGAACTACAGAAACTGACAAATTCTAACGTCTGATGTTGCTTGAACCAGTCGACTGTGGCGTCCTCTTTTCAGTGAGAATCAAGCTACGATAGCTATAGTCGTCAAACACGATGTAATATCGGATCGAAAAGACGGCTATATATTAGGTCGTTCTAAAAATTCATACCACTTATACTCCTGCTACTCAAATTAATTTGTGAAACATACTCTTAAATAACTCTTTAGTAATGGTAACTAAATTTTACGCATGATGATTATACTCGTCATGACATGAAATACTGCCTTTTCTCTATGACGAGTATATTCGTCAATCACAGCTGCCTGGTTAATATAAAAATTTGTTGACCCTTTATGTATATTTTGTTTATCTTATTTTACCAAGAATCCCTTTACATACCTTTTGCATACAATCATACTCCAACTTTGTCGCTCACCCTCAGGTCCAACCTCGACGCCATTTCAAACGGACTGATAACACGTCCACATAGTTCGATACGGACTAATTAGTCAAAGCCCAGTCAGTCATTTTTAGATCCTTGTAAGTCAAACGTAACTCGTCAAAATTAACCAATATTAACCCTTTGCACTCGAGGCCTTTTTTCTGGTATCTATCAGCAACTCGAGATGCTTTCTTAGCATTCTATTGACACGAATGCTAAGCTTAGATTAACTTCGAAAATGAGATCTTTAATTTGAGATTTGAGAATCAGGTCACCTTTGCCTCAACTACAATTGTTTTATTGACACTTAGAGATCCAAAGAAATTAAACCTAAAGAAAACCTAGTGGTGACTGAGAGCCTCCTCTCGAGTGCAAAGGGTTAACCTTCTCGTGCACGACCTACGGGAAATGAAAAATTTGTATATCTAATGATGTTTTAACGCGACAAAGTCTATCCCGTCTTTGAGAACGAGGAAGGTGTAGATGGGCGCAAGCCTCTTGTCTTGCGCGGCTTCCTCCTCAGCCCGGATGACGAGTAGTTTTTATTTGTCGATCGTTAAGAGCGACCGGTCGTTCGATGATTGGGATAAATGGTAGCACGCGTCATACCGTGGAGGGACATCGGCCCTTCTAACTCCTGCCGTCCCAATTGGAGCAGATTAGAGGAGCAGCACAGGGATTCGGAGCGTCGGCCCCTTTGTGCTTGTATGACGGTCGGCCTCTTCAGTTCTACCTACCCTGAATTAGTAACATCTTGTCATGTTAAACGCTCGCGCATATACCGTCTTGTTCCGACTCCTTCTGGATACACGTGGCCATTAATTTGTCGCCGCGTCCACCTATACAGTCGCCAGCCTGAACCTAACTCATTGGGGTCTTCCTCGATTCTTGGCGCCCAATATCTTTCCACTCGGACCGTCCACTCCCTGGAATTTCGAAATGCAACGCTTCGGATAATTAAACAGTCATCCATACTAATTCCTCGATCGAATCTTTCAATCGTTTTTGAAGTGACCTTATCGTCTGGTCAAGCATTCAGCAAACGCATTACCGATTCGTGAATACATTAATACCACACTCGATAACGATAATCTGATAAATTTTAAACGGCGCACTTTGTGGACCAGACGGCTATCGATAAATGTTATTACCATATATGGATTGTTGCTTGGTATGAAATTATTAATCGAGAGTGCCGTTCCAGTCGTGCTGTTCATATTTGTTGAACGTTCCGATCATATATGTATGTAGTTTGTTGGTCCTCGGCAATATAAAGATATTTAATTGTACGTATGGTGTAAGAAAACAAATATACAATACACAGTAACAGACTGTAAAATTATTTAGATGAAGAGAAACGGAAAATAGCTGTCAGTCTCTAAAAATAAATTATACAAATCTGATTTAAATGAAACTTTATAGGAATATAGAGTGTATTGAAGTTATCGAAGAACAATTTTTTTGTTTGGGAAAAAATTCGCTTTGAAGAGATGAAATCAGCCCTTAAAATTTTCGCGTTTTCTCAACAGAACTCTTAACGGTATGAAACAACGTAAAGATGCAAATAGAAACATTGTGCAAATTTTGATGCTCTATTGCACTACTCCAATTGAACATGTTTCCGACCTGTTATTTACAAATAAATACAGTTTTTTTTTATCTTACGTATAAAATTTTAACCGCGAGAGATATAAACGATCAACTTATACAAGAGATTCATCATTTTAGATTATTTATCGAAATATTAAAGAATATAATTTTTTTACGGCTGATTTATGAAGTGCAATTTTCTGCATTGATATCCATATTTTAAAATTCGCGCGTAACATGTAATTCAAATATTTTGTTGTATTTAATACTTGATTTCTGTTACACAATTGGAAGGGACGATAGCTGTGATACTATATTTTAATAATCTGTTTGATTGCTATCGGATGATCCAATGCCAAGTTATCTTACCAATCGTAGAAAAAGAGAACAATCTTCATGTGGCTATTATCAATGAAACAAAAATTATTGAAAACAAACAAAAAATATTGTGTTCATTACTACACCATGTCTACTAGTAAATATTAAAACATAAACGTTCCACAAGTATTTGTTACGTAAAATAAAAATTCTTCAAAAAAAGTTGTTTTTCTCTCGGGCGTGCGATAATAGCCCCTTAATAAGGTTATAGATAAATTTGTCGTCAATCACGAAAATTCCTTCGACTTGGACAGGACAGACTTGATCGATGGCAGAGAAGAGGAATGTCCGTTGGAAAAGACGCGTCGTTAACATGGTGGTCCTACGACGTCGATGGCGAGTCTTCCTCGACAATCTGATGATCCTTGTTACGTCGTTGCTTTCCCCCGTGTTAGAAGTTTCGATCGATCACGAGCACTTTAGTCGCGCTCGCCGCGACATCGAATCATTTTGTTCGAATCCTCCAGCATTCACGAACAGTACAGGATTAGGTCTAAATAGGTAGTGACGCGGAACTGAAAAATCCGTTTTTGAAAACCCACATCATCCCGTCACTTGGACACATCGACGCCGCCTTTGCGACAAAAGTTGTACATGTTTCTTTGGTCGTTGCTGGCAGGACGGAAGGGGTTTCGAACGGTGAAGCGTGTAACGTCTTTAATAGCGGCAGATCGCTACGCAGTAAACGACTGACGGACGACAGAAGATTAAAGTTGGCCGTTAACTCGATCTAATTGTTCCCCCGGCCTGGCCTTCCTTTATTAATCCACGTTCACAAGCATCTTCGGCATCGCCGTCATTGTCATCCCTTGTCACGAGCCTCCTCCTCGGCTCAACTTGCGGATCCATTGTTGCGACTCTGTAAATTGCCTTGCAACTTCGAAGCAAATCGTGTCTCTAACTACTGCACCGCGAAACGTACCAGCAATTGAATTTCGTCGAACGAATCGCGACACTGAACCGTAAGAGCATTGTTCGTATCCGAAAATTTCGACAGAGTTTTATTTTATTTTATTTGTTAATCTCTGCTTCTCAAGCAAAGAATGGACTTGGTTTACATTAATCCTTTGCACTTGGAATCATTTCGTTACGGAATATGCAAACAGGAATCACGCCGTATTACATAATGTAACTTATACACCATGTAATTTACTGTAACGATATATGAGCTTATATGAATCTTTAGACGTTGTGGAATATATTTATGTAAAAAATCAAAACTTTATACTATTCTGATATGTGATAATGTGTGAAACAGTCACAGATATGCATCGATTATTTCTATCTTTTAAGTTGTAATCTTAGGCTTCCTCGTTTATTTTCACAAATTGCACCATGTCATATAAAATATGTTCCCAAATCTTATTTTGTTATACAAAAATCTCTTTGTTATTTTTTTAAGGTGTAGACTATTCACACATTTCCGTGTAACTCATATTTCTTATAGATATCTTAATACGTATATCATAGTTTTATTTGATTTATCGTGATGTTTGAACAGAAACCTTCAAGAAATCATACACTTTTCCAAATTTTATATTCCCGTAAGTTTATCCTGTGTAACCACTAATAAAGTTTGCCTGGATTTACGATGTCCTCTCAGAAGAAATATCCGAGTGCAAAGGTTAATTTCCATTGCTCCGTTCACTTGTTTTGTGCAATATGAGCGGTTTAAGACTTAAACAACCTAATGTTTTTTATTTTTTTATTTAAATCACATTTTTTTACATCACATCGGTGAGATCATTAGCTACTACTGGTCTGTTTTCTCATGTTTGGCAGTGATTATATTTCTTGGTTGATTTGGTTTCCTTCAGAAGTGTTCTGTTTCTCCTCTATTGCGATCACCAAAGTCGTCAAATAAAAATAAAAAAGAGCAAAGCTTTAAC